CTAATATATATATATATATATATATATATATATATATATATATCTAGCATTGTATACTAAAAGACTATTTATTTTTTATGTAATAAGGTCACAGTAGAAGGACTGAAAATGACAAGTGGTAGGCCCAAAAAGACGTGGTTAGAAGTACTCCGAAAAGATACAGGGATTTATGGCTTTACTGAAGGTATGAGCTTGAATATAACAGAATGACGAGCCAGGATTCGTGTAGCCGACCCCAATTAATTGGAAAAAAGCTATGATAATGATGATGATAACTAGGTGGAGGTCACAAATATTTTTAGTTATTGGGTGTGATACCCAATAGACGAGAGTGTATTGCTGTATTCAAAAAATTTTATTTTGGATTTTGTCTCTAAACAATAACTAAATGTCAACCACCTGATTTCAAATACAATAGCCAATGATGATTATGACGTCTTTATATCCAAAGTAAATGGTCTCATAGCAAACATTTCTTTTTTAATATTTTGTGATTTTGAAGCACATCCCAAAAGTTCAGATTGAAAAAAAACAAAAAAATCCTGTTAAGCATGTCTTATGTCTTTTGCTATTGGGCACCATATGCTCGTACGGGAGTACACTAATAGGGGTTGCAACTGGTTGAGTCGGGTCCGGCCAGACCTGGACTCAGACCTGAAATCACCGGACCCGGATTGGAGAATGTAGTGTGGGACCTGGACCTAAATAGTTCGGGTCCAAGATTTGGACTCAAACCAAAAAATGTAGAAGGGGACCCGGACCGTAATAGTTCGGGCCCAATATTTGGACTCAGACCCGAAAAATATAGTATGGGACCCAGACCCAGACCCAGACCCCTCCAAGATCTGAACCTGGACCTTCCCGCCAGGTCCAATTTGGACCCATCCCTGGACCCAGATCGGGTCAACCCCTCAGGTCCGGGGGTTGGGGGGTCTGGGTCCATTCCCACCCCTATAGATTATATGTTCAAGATTTGATGCGCATAACAAGTTTGAGAGAGAGAGACCTTTATGCTGGCAGTATCAATGCACCTAGTCACAATGTTGAGCTCCTCAGCCATGCGTTGCAGCTCTTCGCAACTCTTTAGCACCGCAACCGCACCCGAAAGGCTCGTCAATGCGACACCGACCAAGAAATCCTCCGCACGAGAGATGAGATTGCCTTCGCAATATTTCTCGGACATCTCCAAATACTCAGCCGCACACAGTAAAGCCGCCACATTTTTTACGGTAATTTCGAAACTGGCCCCGTAGCAGAATTTTGCTGCCTTTTCAAATGTCTCCGGTCCACCAGGAATGTCTGGAAGCTCGATCCTGGAGAGATCAGCCTCTTTCGATTCCATGATCAACTTTCTTATGTACCCACTTTTAGCCACTAGCATAAACTGATAAGAAGGAAATGAAATTGAATTTTGAGTGATGAAAACTCATTAAAAAAAGTTAAAAGTAATTTACGTACCGACACACAAAACAAGGAAAATACGAAATGGGCCAATTTTGGGCGATATGAAGAAAGTAGGTCAACCCGTGTTTTTTTTTTATTTTTAAAATTGCTCTTTGGTCTGAGAATGCCATCCTCATATTGATTTTTAAATATTTTTTTTAGTTTTTTTGCTAAAAATCAATATTTTTTTAGTTTTTTTGCTAGTAGGACAGTGCCCCGTCCAGAAGCAGTCAGTGGTTGGCATCCTCAGACTGCCTTATTTCTTAGCAAACAAATGAGCTAATGCGGTATGAGGATGCCAACCTCATACCACTCTGACGAGCTCTAGAGAAGACAGTTCAAGAATGGATATCTCAGACTGCTCCTGAATGCTTAACAAAGTTAGTCTTTGCGGTCTAAGGATGCCAACCTCGGACCGCTTTGAAGAGCACCACAGAACGCAGTCTGATGATGCTAACATCGGAGAGATTGGGCACTGCCCCAAACGTTAGGGCACAACCCTACCATAAAAAAAATAAAAAAATAAAAAATTTAAAAAGTGGTATGACGATTGTATCTTCGGAATGAGGGGCAATTTTGAAAAAAATAAAAAATTCCAGGTTGATGGACCTTCTATGTGATTTTAACCCAAAAATCACTCATTTTGTAATTTAATTTTTTTTTAATGTCGGTACATAATTCATGTAATAATGAAATTAGAATTTGACTAATGAAGAAAGGTATGATAAATACAAACAAGATAAAGAAAAACAATGGGAAAATTGGGCACTTTTTACCCTCTTATAAACATGGATCTAGTAATTTTTGCTCTTTCTTAGCTAGGTAAGCTTATTAACAAAGAAGTACCCTCCCTTTTTTGGGTTAGGCTAGGTGGTTTAAAGCCACAACTCCACACAACCTAAGTACCTTTAAATATAGCTATGAGCTTGAAATGGGTACTACTAGAACAGTTGACACTGGGTATCTATTTTTGGGATTTTACAGTTTAAAACTATTTACTTTTAGTACAAACAAGTCACAATTATTTTTTTAGTTGTTAGATCTCAAATGTAATCAGGCGGCAAACAATGCGTATAAAGTTCAAGAAATATTTTCTTAAACATGGTCAATGATGCCTTCAGCTACCTTGTCTCACATCTAGCAGCTAGGGGTGAGCGCGGTTCGTACCAAAAGTACCTTACCTCACTACAAACTTTTTTATGGTAATCTTAGCTCCTGAAAGTGTGTTTCGAAAAGTGGTATGGGGATCCAACCCGTAAAGGATCCTAGCTTGGATCACCTAGTTAGACTAGAGTGAGTTCGAGTTGGACCGAACTATTTTTAATAAAAATTAAAATTACATAGAATTTTGGGATAATCGAGTGAGTTTTAGGTTTTTCAGCCCAAAAATGTATGTCTTCCCAAGTCTACTCGAAAGATTCTAAGTCGGCCAAGTCGTTGTTGATTTCTATTACAAGAGCTTGGATCCTCAAGGTAAGGAAGGTCTTTGGGCTTCGGCCTCTTGGGCCAAAGTAGAAGGAATTTGATAACATTGGTCTAAGGGTTCGAACATGTATAAAAAGAAAAAAAAAAAAGAAAAAAAGATAGAAATCGCCCTCCAACTTAGTTCCCTGGTGAATCGAGTGGATAAAGCCAGATCGGTGATTCCATAGTACCCCAATTCACCATGTAGAGAAATTCAAAAACAAAAAACAAAAACCAAGGAAATCCAGCAGTTTTAGGTTCCCCAGATCTGGATTCCCTCCTCCCTCGAACAAATCCGAGTAGGGGATTTTTAAACACGCGTTCAAATGTTTTGTTTGTTAAGTAAAGTCGTAAACAAGCAAATGTAGCGATGAAAGTTGGCCCCATAACAGGTAAGTACCGTACCTCTCATTTATTTCTTTGTCTAGACTTTTTTTGCCGGAGAATATATATTACAAGGCCGTTAACATTTTGTATATGGGTCGTAATTTTTTCAAGAAGTGAAATTTGACAGCTTGGGATATATTATAAAATTAAAAAAAATTCTTTTGAATTTTGAACCGGCTCACTCTCAGCTGCCAAACATTAAACCTTATTATATATTCTCATAACTTAACTAAATACATTTGCTATTTACACATCCCAAGATTTTTTATTTTTATTTATTTTTATTTGACGGGGGAGGGGGGGGAGCAGGGGAGAGAGGGGTGCTTTCTCCTTAGTGAAAAAAATATAGAGAGAATGAGAGAGGAGTAAATTGAAGGAGAGGGGTCCTTCATCTTCCATCAGGAAATTAAGAGAGAGAAGAGAGAGAGAAAAGGTTTCTTAAGTGAAAAAAAGAGGAAGGATAGGATCCTTTCTCTTCAATTGAACAACATGATGAAAGTCCCTCCTTAGTTTTCCTTATGTTGATGTCACTTAGTGTAAAAATCAACTTCTTTTTCTCAAGAGAAAACAAATCTCACACACATCAAAGCTTAACCTAAAGAGAAAAAGAAACTAAAACTAAGATATTACAGAAAAGTTATTCATCAAACTGTAAATTTAATTCAAGTGAAAAAATAAGAGAGAGAGAGAGAAATGAAAGTTGAAGAGGGTTACTTTGTGCAAGGAGAAGTTTGCTTCCCCAACTTCAACGACTACATCCGTGGGGATTTCTTGTGAGAAGACCCTGCATAATCATAAACATAAATTAATTAATATGAATTGAGAGAGAGATAGAGAGAGAAAGAGAGAGAGAGAGAGAGAGAGGCCTCAAGAGCTAGAGAGAAGAAAAAAACTACAGGAAATAGAGATAGAGAGAGAGGGGACGTAAATACTAGAGAGAGAGAGACCTCAAGATCTAGAGAGAGGAACTAAAGTACAGGAAAGACAGAGAGAGAGAGGGAGGGGGCTAAACCTAGAGAAAGAGAGAAAAAAAACTCAAGAGTTAGAGAGAGAGGGAAAGAAAGAGAGAGAAACCTCAAGAGCTAGAGAGAGGAACTAAACTACAGGAAAGAGAGAGAGGGAGAGAGAAAGGAACTAAACTGTGTGAGAGAGAGAAAGAGTGCTTAGATATACCATTTTCCAGTTCTCTCCATGGCTAGAGAAAGCCTGTTCTTCGTAGAGGCAGCCATGAAAGCTTCTCTCTGGTGCAGAAGCTTTGATTCAGTGGTGTCTCACCTCTTCATATATAAACATGTATCTTTCATCTATTTATCTAATTTTTCCTTTTACTTTTCTTTTAACTCGATGGCTCCTTGACAAATCTAAAAGGTCCAAAATACCCCGATATTTTTAACTAGGAAAATTGTTTAATGCGAGCTGATGCGATCCAAAAAGTGTAAAACATCCGCCTTAAATATGGATGCAAGTAGGTGTTATGTCTGAAAACAATGGAAACTAATTAAAGATGGATGCAAGTAGGTGTTTTATCTAAAAACAATAAAAACTAATGGTTCAAATGTTTTTTTACTAGAATTATTATTTCTAATTTTTTAAATTTATGTACTTTTTCATATTCATGATCTCTATGTTAGAGATTACATGTCCTTAAAAATTAAGTCTTAAATCCATCTCAAAAATAGATTTTTATTGAGAGGCCCCCATTTATACATATGCAAGCTTGGCCGTGTAGAAACCAGATCCAACTAACTAAATATGGTATTCGTCTTTTTAGTTTAAAAAAATCTTATGTAAGGTCTCAACCTTATATTGTATGGGTAAGGTGCACTTAAAAAACACACTAATGAAGGTTGTTTTTAAGCTGGAAAACCCTCAAATCAATTATCTCACCCTCGAGATTCATAGACATGAAACAAAAAAAAAAAGGGCCGGGGTGGGGGGCAGATATCTAGTCCTAAGAATAGTTCATCTTCTAACACATTATCTAGATCGTCCATGTTGGAGAGCTAGATGGGGGGAAGTATACATTGAGGTGTCGGATCTAGATCAAACAGTCAGTAGCTCACTTGATCCAAATTGGAGAGCTAGATAGGAGGAAGTATACATCTTATATGTTGCAGAGGAAGTATAAAAACATTTTCCTTTAGTTTATTTCATAGTTAAAAGAATGAAAGCATACAAATAGAACATTTACTTTTGCTACAAGGAGGTCACTATCACTCTTGTCCGTTAGATTTCAAAACGGGTCGTTGTAATAGTGTCACTAATTAGTCTCAAAGTTAAAATTCCAGGTATTTATAGATCTACCCGAGTTGTACCATTTTTAGAAATAAAAATTTCAAAATTAGAGAAAAATAGTTTTTCAATCCATCATAAGATTTTCAATATCAAAACTACATCTCCACACAATTTAAGAGTTGTGGCTTACTTCTACATAATAAGGAGTACACCTTATATAAATCTCACCTCACTTAAAATTGCATTTTATGCTTGATGGATCTTTTTTACTAATGAAAATTTTTGTTTTGTTATAACTAATCTTTTAAAATCCAGTATCGGGTTCTAGATCACCCGCTCATTGTACCACTCCAGATAAGTTGGATCGGTTGAATCGCCGAAAATCAGTCTCATACATCCAACGATCCGAGTTGGTGTTTCCCAATCCGAATTGACAATCCTTAAATATCTAAATTCTGTAAGGATATGAGGATACACCAGTCTTTGAGGGAAGAGTATGGGTCATAACCTTTTCTTATACTTTTTGTGAGTTATCTCACTCACTTTTTGGTGTTACAGTCGTATTGAAAATTCCAATTTGGAATAGGGATAACGGAGAGGAGACAAATGACAATCAAATGGTCTCTCTCTAGAGGAGACAAACCGCAGGGAGAAAGTGACTCTCCCTCTCTCTCTTGGGTTGCAGCCGATCAACTAGCTTGGCTCGAGTGAGTAACAAGAGCTTTTGTATTTAATGTTATCGTATTCGTTTCAGTCTTTTTTTTTTCGATTTGATGTGATGAGAAAAATGAAACAATTTGATGAAGATTTTAGATTTTTTAATTCAATATAAATAAAGTAGATATTTATATACAAAAATACATTAAAAAAAAAAAAACTTTTATATAGGTATTTCATGCTTTGGCGAAAGCCGACCGAAAAGACAGATCCAAACTTTGTTTTGCTTCGATCTAGGCCTAAAATCCGAAGGCTTCGGATTCTTAAGCTGAAACGAAGCGAATCGGACAAACATTGTTTGTATCACCCACTCAAGTCTCTCGTATAGAATTAAACATTGAAGAACACAAATGCTAGGCTTCATTGGGAGCATAGTTTTCGTGCGTCAAGCTAATAAATTTGTTAACTTCATTCCTTTTCCTTTTGCAATGTAGACATACGAGCGATGATGCATCCAAAAATGGCTTGCTGCCGGTCACCAGACTGGCCCCAAGACCCAACAAACACTGTCCTTAAGATGGGACCTCTGTGCAGAAGATAAGCTTCAGAACTCAAAGTACTTTCTTCCCTTCCAATGAAGACTATTTTCATATGGTTGGGTAATGGGGACAAACTCAGACAAAACCTCCGTTCGTTACAGCACACAGCGACAGCCTCCCAATTTCCGTTCGTTACAGCACACAGCGACAGCCTCCCAATTGGAAGACGACGTTGTGTCTTGTGTGGGCAGACGACGATAGCCACTTGATCTTCACCCGCCGTTACCAGTCTAGCTAGCAGACGGCAACAGCCTTTTACTGGCACAGCCAGTGCTAAGCACCCAACTGGTCATCCTATTTCTCTCCTTCCATGCCTCCCAAAAAATAATGCATTTTGCTACCTTCCATATCACACTCCCAATCTTGGGTAGAAATGGAAGAGCAAATTGTGATACAATGCCAACCAGCAGAGATATTTGGAAGTGGATTTTTTCAATTTGAGATTCTAGGAACTACTTGTTTTTTTGGTAACTAAGTTGGAAAGACATGCCTCTATCATTTTTTTTCAAATAATTGAGGAGTTATTTTTTGAAGATGTTAGTAAGGTGGTGTAAGTGGGAATGAAAACCACAACGTGGTGACTGAGGTGTGGGGTGCTACCACCACGGCCTCAATCTGATTCCCCTGAGAACTACTTAATAATTACTAAATGATTATCTTTTAAAAAAAAAATTGTAATTTGAGTTTTCTAACACTTATATCTCACAAGTTAAAAATTGGATGGTCTCTATTCAGTATTGAGACATTATTATTTCAAGTGCATAAGCGATATGATTAGGAAATATTTTTTATCGAGGTTGATCTATGGATTGAAGACATTACATCTGCAAAATTTTATATCCTAAAATTAATCGTAGGTGGGTTTTATCCGAGAGAATAAATGAACATTCTACTCCCATGAATGTAGAATATCTTTAAGAAATTTTAAATAGAAAGAAAATTGTTTGGACTTTTCCCATAAAGAGATAGCTAATACAAAATGTTTGGAGAGATAAACAAAAGGAGAGGACATAGCACACACATGAGAAAGAGGGAAACCCTGAGGGTGCTTTTTGGAATACCAAGAAGCGCTCATATGGATGTTTAGAGCTTTACGGACCTAATAGGTCCATAAAGGGTCATTTTGGATATTAAAAAAAAAGTAAAAGAATAGGTATAGGTTTTAATTAAAGAAAATAAAGTTTTTATAAAGAGTACTGATCCTATAGGACCCTCTCCTACTCATGTGTGTAGGACTCTAAACGATCATCCTTAAAGTTGATACGGATTTTTAGAAAAGTTATCGACTTTTCTATAGATCTATGTCAAATTTAATGATGATCATTTAAGGTCATAACTTTTCTATAGATCCATGTCAAATTTAATGATGATCCTTTAAAGTCCTACACACATGGGTAGGGGAGGGTCTTATAAGATCATTTATCTTTTGTAAAATACGTGAAGTTTGTATAAAGGACTGTCCATATACTATAGAGCATAGAAGTAAGGCACATTCTAAGGAGACGTAATGTTGGTGTCAAATATTAAGATGGGTTGAAAATCTATTTTTATCATTAGTTATGAAATTTCAAATTTCAAATATGGTATAAATCATGTAGATATATAATATTTTAAAATTACATGATTCATATAATTTGTTACAATATATATTGTTTTTAAAAATTAAATTTTATTTATTTTTTCTTTATATCCATACATCTCGATTTCAAATAGGAAGTTCTTAACAAAAACCCTTCTTTTATAAAGGATTTTTGAGGTCCTGACTTTAATACCTTAAGGTTGATACCTTATACAAACTTTTCTTTATAAAATATTAAAAAATAAATAAATATTTCCAGATAAGCCAAAATTTTCACATCACCAGACTTAGCATTAGAAAATACCAGCAGGTCAAATAGGAGCCGGCCACTAGCTTGGGGATCGGCTCGTGCTGACGTGGAGATTTTGCAGCCACTCGATTGATCTAATGCTTCATGCAATTCAAACATGTGGAGCGGAAATCTCCAACATTCGGTGCAAAATCACTGGTCCAGGTGCTGCCACGTAATCGTATGGTCCCACAACAATAATTCTTCCCACCCCTTGCTCGCTAAAATACGACCAGCGGTCTTGTGCATGAGGGACCATGAACACGTGGCAGGTTACTATTGCGCCAAAGTTTGAAGGACCAATAAGATTAGAGAAAAAGATCTATATTTTTAAATATAATTCATTTATCTACAAGAGCTTGGATTTATATGACATTATATATCCCAAAATTTGTAAAAAATAAATCATGGATTTATACAGCTGTGGAGGCCTCACATGAAGGACAAGGGCAATTCCATGTTCAGTTAAAAAACTTAAATTTTTTAACATATTTAAGAGACAAAATAGAACAATGATGCAATGCAATAGTGGTATCTATAATGCAACGACATTTCTAAAAAACTATATTTGCGGTATTTGTATGGCCCTAAATTGTGTACACACTCTTTTAATCTCAATAATCAATCTCCCAAAAAAAAAAAAAAAAGTTAAATTTGAACTCTAGATATGGCCAAAATGAGTCATCTCTAAAAATGAATCTAAACCATTCATTTTATGAATATCAAGATCTTAGTCTTTATAAACTCAAAATTATTTTTTTTCGTTTTTTAACATTGTTCATCTAATGATAATAAAGCCATCTAAAAATATTGGAAATGAAAAAATCTTTCTAAGGCCTAGATCTAAGCATCTCACCAAAATAAATAGCCTATATTAATTGGAATAAAAAAATACTTTCTAAGTTGTGTTTTCAATTTTTTCTTTC